CGATGCATATATGTGCTCGTCCATGGTCAGGGGCGCTTCTTTCCCATCTGTACTGCAGGCATATGCCCCGTATACAAAGGATACTGCCCTAGTACATACCATGGGAATGGAAGATGCCCAGGACCATGGTACAGTGGATAGCAGCATCGTCACAGTGATCGTATCGGCCACGTGAACCATCCTAATGGGCTACGGACGCTCGCAGTACATCGTGCATGCATCAGTTATGCTCCGCGTTATGGCGACGACAAGATTTCCTACAACTAGTAAGACGAATTACCGATTAGCGAGCGGCAGTTCAGCGTAATTAGAAGGTGCATAACTCTGTCCATACTTTCAAACGAGCTGATAGCACAGCAGGGTTCAGGTTCAGGTTTCATCGATTGTTCCGATAGTACGATATCTGGTGCCAGTTGCAATTGGGTGCCACATTCAAATGAAGCCATGAAATTAATGATCCGTGACGGACTTGGTTAAGAAAGTTCCCAGTTTACTTCACTGCCGTCAGCAGCCGCCGGGAAAACTGATGCATCACAACAGAACAGAGTGTTCTGTACGTACTACCAGCTCAATATCTTTGCTTTGTCCAAGTCATTCGCACCTAGAACATGGACATATCTATCTGAAATGGATGGCGACTCAATGACAGAGAGAGAGAGGGAAGGAGAGGACAAGATTGCCTGGGAAACGACGTGAGCAAAGGTGAGAAGGTTCTGTACGTCGGCTCTAGTACTAATACTAGTAGCAGGCATCCTTTAACTTGAAGGACGATCACTCCAGCTTTGACCGATGTCGCATTGTCTACAAGGTGTGCGGACCAAGGGCTGTTCCGGGCTGTTACCTTTGACTATGCAATAGTCATTGGGCAGAATTCAATACTTTTAATGTTTTTCCCCCAATTTTACACCAACCATACATTTCATGCATTCTCCTGGCGCAAATGCTTTGGCGGATCTGACTGCCATCTGTCACGACGCACCAAACTTCATGCACATGGCTTCAAGGTATGCCAAGCGAACACAACATACTGGAAGGAACATGTATTTCAGTTCATTCAACTAACGTAACACTCACCCAGATCGGCATCTGTGCAGGGACACGCACTTGCAGTTGAAAAACACTCAGAAGGCTATTGATGATACATAATTCCCCTGCCATTATAAGCATATCGGAGTAAAAGTCCTAAATCTCAGAGGTGTTAGCGGTGCGTTGAGCCATCATCGATGTCGATAAGTCACGGATCTCGCTACACATGGACGACAAGTTCGACATGGTAGTCGCCGATTGTGTATGACAAAAGCCCTGGCGGCGATGCTAGCTGCTGACTGACAGTCCCGAAGGGGACGAGATGGTCAGTAACCCTCTGCATAGTGCTAAAATTGCATATTTCTTGCCAAATCATCTGTTCTCCTACCTCCTGGCAGTCACTGATAAGGAAGACAGACCACAGAAACCCAGCAACTCCGCGGCAGGAATCCCGCACGATTAAATAAGTCCGCTGTCGCGGAGACAGTGAGTTCTGAACGCATTCCCTTCCAAAGCTGCCCCAAGTACCAAACTTAAGTCGGTGATACTCGGACAGGGTTTGTTGCCCCAATGTCTACCAGTTCAGGAATAGCTGCTTCACCTCCTCGTGTACAGGTTATTCCCGGGGATTTAAACCAGAACTGGTAATCGTCGCGACCAGAGCTAACTTCATATTCAGATTGATTGATTTACTACATGTGAATCTGGGATAATCCCGGATGGATACAAATGCGTATGCATAGAACTAATATAATTGTGCATCGAAATGCTAGTTCCACAAGGGACTCTTCCTCCTTTCGTGCACTCGATTGAGTGCAAGGAAACCGTGAGGCATATATCTCACGATTTCTCCATGCGTATATGCCTCGTACATTGTAAGTTGTATCCCGTGCTTGATATCCCGGACGAAAGAGCTTGAGAAGGGCCTGAAGAAAGTCAACACGTCACGAATTAGCTTCCAAGTCTCTCAAACAGACAATCCACCCCACCCTGACTCCACGACTCCTTATCAATATCTGCTTGGGCATAGGGCGACCCTACGGAAGTAGTGTTAGACACATAGATGGCTCAAAAGAGGCCACTGCTCATCGATTCGCTCTTGTCTGTAAATCGAATGTTGCTTGTGGTTGGATGGACGAATCAATTGCAGTGTTCGGGAGCACAAACTCGTGGAAGCATCGCGGGGCTTCTGAGGTCAGCAGTCCAGGCTACCCACGATCGCATGCTACGAGCCATCAGGAAGACAATTACAGAAGGGTCCCTGTAGAAGCGCACCTATACGCTTTCCTTGGCATGTTCGAGACAGCCAAAAACAAATTGCCGATATGGGGGATAAAAATTAGAGATCGGTGGCCTAAAAGACATCGGAGGTCGAGTAAGAGCTTCGGGGTTTCTGCGTAAATGTGATAATACTCCGCGAGCACGCAAAAACACAAAACAGAAACAAATACCTTCCAGGTCGAGTCGAGTCGAGAATAGATGCTAGAAGACCAGTGCTGCCTTGAAACTAAACATGGGAGGTGTCCACCGCGGGAGCAAAGGCTCCATTTCCGTCGACTTCCAGGCCATCTCCAAGGCCTGGTGCAAAGTTTGCACTCATGTTACGCAGGGTAAAAGTACCACGCCCCATCACCAAGTGCATGAGTCGTCAGACTTCTGAAGGACACGGAGGAAGGCGACCTTCGGTGATAATTTACGAATGGATCAATCACTGCGGAAACCCACGCGAATAAGGAGAACGCAACACAGTCTTCACGTTGCTTACCCCTACAAGATAAGTGACCCTGCTCTAAATAGTGGCAGTCGAGACCTAGCATCCCTTCTGATTGGAAATCACGTTGGAATGGATCGTCGCTTGTACATTGTTCTCCAGGAGGGGAGCTAACACCCCGAAATTGTGATTGCACGGCATCTTTGGAGCCATTCAATTTGTTAGATGATAGAAGACACGAGCATTCCTACCCTCTTTCGTTCGGTATCATGGAGCAGAGGGATATTTCCGGGGTGCATGCACATGAGTATGCCCGTGAGTGACTGGCTTAGATTGGATGAAACTTACTCATATAAAAGCAGGAGCCCTCCATCTTCTTGTATGTCGCAACCCACTCTTTGGCGAAGTGATATCCTGTGCTATGGTCAGACTCCCTTCCCTCCCATATGTATTCTTGTGCTTAAGCCTCTTTCTTTATGGCTGCAGCTAGTTTTACATACCATGGGAATGGAAGGGGGTTTGGACCAGTGTTCAGGGATCCACCACCAGCCCTATTCCCCATATCTTCTACAAAATTGTGTTACGTCGAAGACACTGATTATGATTACGCACAGCATAGATTATATTCGGATGGTTGTCTGTATGAATCGACCATGCAACGCGGTGGTTATATTTGATTGGGGGAGCTGCGCTCAGAAGAATGGGGCAGTAAAGCCTTGGCAGATGTGTATGAAAAGTGGTGCGTCTGCGCTACATTGCGCCGCTTCGAGTACGCGGGGTCTTTTGCAGTAAGTTAAGTTTTTGAGTTTCTATCAGCGAGACAGCATCACGTATTGTTTGATTAAAGGTACCATACCTGGTCTACTGGAATGCGCCACATGTTCTCAAGATCATATGTCAGCAAATTGCTTCCCGCCTACTAGTACGGGGTGCGTATCCTTCCAAGTTTTGCAGAAGTTGTTGTCGGTGGTAGAGGGGTATTGGATTTGCATTATAGATTTACCATGTCTCGCACGCTAGCTTGTCCAATTCATCGACCAGAGTCGTCTTTGTATCTGAATCCTTGAACGCGGCTCGCTTCAGCACTGCTACTCCACCCAGTTTGCGGAGTCGGTCCACGGGTACCGGATCAAGGTCCGAACACGATGGTCCTTCGATTGATTAACAAGAAAGTCGGGTCCGACTAGCAGTGACTCATGCGCGCTTGAAGATCACCGAGCTGCGGTTAATGACAAGAGACGATGGGAAATCATGGTGCTTTGGTCAATGATCTACTGCATCACGTCATGAATTTGTTGGTAATCCCGGTAAAGTCTTGACAGCCTGAAAGGGAAACCTAATAGAGCCATCCATCCGCGCTACATGGGCTAGAGAAAAGTATGTGTCGCTTGAAAACAGAACAGACCAAAGTCTTCGAGTTGATGCGGGCTGGCGGTCAGTCTTGCAAGATATCTGGGCTTTTTCGACTAACTGGTCTGTAACAGAAACACCACGGTAGTGTGAGATGCGTGTACGCGCACGAGCATCAACATGTCATAATGCGCGATAGATCAGAGGTGTCTCCGTGAACCGTCTATTGAACTTGCTCAAAATTATCATCAAATGTTATTCAGAAAAATTAACCATGAGGCGCGTAACCGCAATTCGATCGAGGATCTTGATTCTTGAAGAACCAGATACCCTTACCCTCACGATACCATTCAAGAAATCATCCAATTCAATAGAATCTTTTAGTCGCAATGAAGATTAAAATTTTGGGGTATTAAGACCTCGAGGACATACAACGAGAAGCCTAGATCGGAGGCTTCATATGAGGACGGAATTAAAAAGTATTATCAGACACTGAGCAGCCATGAACTGCCGCTGTTGCACGAGTATGGGTGGCTATGCAGGTTTCGAGTGCCCTACAGGTTTCTTGGGCGCTCTAACGCTCGTGGTGCATAGTATATATTGCGCATGCACCGACTATCTTGACTCTGCTGCATATCCGGGAACGAAAAGAGCCCAAGAGGCTCCAAGGTGAGCGCGTCCCATACCATCGCTGTCCCGCTTACAGAGCCTGTAGCAAGAACGGCCAAGTTCCAAGCAAGTGCAGTCACGGCACTCTCTTCGTGAGCTTCGAATCGATCGTCCTATGTTTCGCGCACTGCCGCATCACTCAAAAACAGCGACTTCAAAAGAGTGACTATAGTTGAGAGCAAACTCCGCGAGCGCCCTCGCGGAGTCGCCATTCCAAAACACATCGCCTGATTAGTAGCCCCAAAACTTCTTAAAAAGCATTGATTCAATCAGTATTAAGTACAAAGGCAACACTGTGACAAAGATACGGGAGATCCCTGAAAGATGCGGTTTGAGATAGTGCGACGGCCCATCAGGCCCACCGTCCTGGGACTACAGGGTGCGATGACGAAAGCCCCCCATCAACCGCAATGTTCTGTCCATTGACATAACTCGATTCATCTTTGTCAGGGTATAGATCAGATCTGAATCGCTTTTAACGGAGGGACGTGTTCTTACCCGAAGCCAAAAACAAGCTCATGTGAGCAATCTCTGCAAGACGTGATAAGTGACTGAGTGCACATGGTCACAGCACGAGGTCCATACCTTGAGCGACGCCAAAGCGGCCCATCGGGTTTAATTGACCAATCTTGCTCTCCCTGCCTCGTTGGCGAGCAGAATCGAACATGTCCTTGGTCATATTGGTCTCGATCAGGCCCGGGCAGATTGTGTTCACGCGAATGTCAGTCTTCTGAAGTTGATATACGCTTGTCTTCGCGATCGAGTTCACGCTGTGATCCGAAATGAGTTTCTCCGCTGACAACAATGATCGAAACATTACGCCGCTTTACTTGCGCTATCTGATCGTAGGGTCAGCCACAGCAGGTCGAGTATGGGAAGGAGCAGAACTCACAGTCTATGGTCCCTGCCCCGGACCGTAGCCCTGCCACTGTGATGTTTGGTTAGAAACATATGTAGTAATGCGAAGGAGATAAATAAACGTACCAGATGCAGTCAAAATGATACTTCCTCCACTAATATCTTTCCCTCTCGACGAATTAGTCCTCATCATCGCGTCGGAACCGTACTTTACGGCAAGGAAGCAGCTGTTAGTTTATCGTTTCTGGTTAAACCGAATATTACGAAAAATGACACGGCGAACTGACGACAATGCATTGACTCGCATGCTTTCCATGAAACCTTCTGCGGTCAAATCGGAAAGCGTCTTATCACTTGCGAAACCAGCCTTTTGGGCGTATTTGAGTGCAAGATCAGGTTTCGTCTATTGAATCTGACACATACATTGGCAAAGAATACGTCCAATCGACCCTCATCTTGTAATGCTTGTTCACAGACAGCTGCTATGGCGGTCTCATTTGCTGCGTCGGCTTGAATGGTGGTTACCTGTGATACATTTAATCATCAGACGTAAGGAATGTCAAGGTCCCACCTTCACGTCCGTATATGAGTTCTCAATCGTTGACTTGAGTTCAGGAAGATTCTCTTGTGAGAAATCGAGCAAGTATAGATGAGTCGCTCCTGCGAATATCAGTATAGAAATTGTGACGGGGGCTGCTTCCAGAAGGTGATAGTCCACGGACCTTCATGTGCGAACAAGAACGCAGAAGCACGGCTGGTGCAAATTACAGGTCAATTTCATTGCACAAATCAACGACTGAGTATTTACCCTATGCCATGCAACGATCCAACACCGGTAATGACGCAAGTTTTACCTTTGAGTCGCTGCCCGCGCGGAGAGTTCGAGAGGTGCGATTGAATTTGCTTAATGCGGACAAGAGTACGCTGATGATGTTCTTCTGCGCTAGGCTGCCTCCCTTGAGCAGCGTTCGAATGAGAAGGCATGTCGAGTTAGGTGAGACTCGCTAAATTTCGCTCTTCATACAACTTTGGCGCGCGTTTCACCGAGCTCTTATTGTAACCGAAAACCACTAACAATATTCATGGGAATTGCAATTAGATTCTGAGAAGGCGAAGACAAGATACGCAGAAATTTCGGTATAGACAAATAAAATCGGACGCACAACGCATCTAAGTAAAAGGGTCAAGATATACAGCTCTGAAAAACATCCACCAATATTACTACGCTCGGTCAAACTAATTTACTCTTGTCCAATGAACACCAACCAGTGATGCAGTCAAGGGAGACTATGAGTGTCTAAGGCTGCTGATCGCGATACACGTTATTGTAATAGCTGGGGCAGTGGGACCAGACACCCTCTTGAGGTGGGAGGTAGCTAGGGTCCCGGTAGACATCTCTACGTGGTGGCGCGTAATCTGCAGTATTTTGTCCCGTCATCTCCTGATGAAAAGGCTGATATTCACCCTCCGGTCCATAAGTGTGATGCACTGGAGATGAGCCGAAGGAATTAGTTGAAGAAGAACTTCCTCCAGACAATGGAGAATCTTGATGATCCGCTGTATCCGGAGTCCTGAAATTGTAGTACGCGGCGGGATAACCAGGGACCTGCGGTGAACCGTCGCCACCACTCGAGGTGCGAGGGCGTTTAAAAGCGGTGGAGTGAGGATACACGGAGGTATCAGAGGGCAGCTGGTCACCAACTTCATCAGACACCCAACTAGAGCATTCGTTGGTAGATGAAATGGGTGTAGTCTGCGACACTGGTGTCTGTGGAGGCTCCTGTCGTCCTGTCGGTATCATTCTCTGGGAAGGATTGAAGGTCAAAGCGGGGGTTTCCGGGATTACTTGCCTCCTGCGCTTGCGCGGAGGTGGAGAAGGCTTCTTCTCCCGATCTGAAAAAGACAGGGGTTTCTGCGTGAACAACGGCTTTAGCTCCTTCTGATTTTAGACGTTAGCCTTCGTCGAAGAAAACGATGCACAGCGATGAGACGTACTGATTCTGGACGAATTGCGGTCGGCTGAAGAGCATGACTTCCCGGAGGAGTAGATGAAGGTGATGAATCCGAAGATGACGAAGCCTTTTGAGCGCGCTGCATGCCCTATCGAATAGAGAAGAGAAACTATATGAACAAGAAGCTCAGCTGTAAGACCTGCAGCTGGCTGAAGGTTTTGGTTTTCTGAGAAAGAGATGCATTTTCAGCTGAGGATATATATCAGTTCGTTTGGTGGAGCATCATGATCAGTATTAAGACTTAGCCACGTTTGCTGATAAAAACGCGACTGCCTTGTGCCCCTGCGTAACGCAAAAACAATGAGCGCAAGCTTGAGCGAAATGAGTTGTGCGGTTCATTGAACAAATTTCAAGGCAAAGATAGTTTGGTACTCCGCTATCCGTCGGAGGCTCGTTTACCAACTTCCAAATCTGTTTGACTTTACTGGGTTCGCGTAATTCCATTGCTCTTTCCATCATGTCCTCCTCGATAGAATTGATCAATCCAAAGGCAGAGAGCGTCAGACGCGCTGCTGCCTTGCAGGTAAGTCGCGTGTCCTGGTTTTCGCTGTTCCAATTTCATGCATCGCTTTACTAGGTCAACACCAATGGCGCGATGGGTCTTGCTAACGTAGTGAAGGGTAATCTCGGTAAGGATTAGTATCACTTCTTGAGCGACCGTTCTGTTCCGATCGGATACCATTTCAGGTCCAAGAGGTACTCTAAAAATGCTTGTGGACGGCTCTGGTCAGATCAAAATGACCAAGGATGGTAAAGTGTTGCTATCCGAGATGCAAATACAAAACCCGACAGCCGCTATGATCGCTCGAACTGCGGTCGCTCAAGATGATCAAGTTGGTGACGGAACTACTTCAGTAGTTCTACTGGTTGGAGAGTTGCTGAAGCAAGCCGATCGTTACATATCTGAAGGCGTACACCCAACCGTCATAGGGGAAGGATTCGATCTCGCGAAGAAAGAGGCTTTAGTGGTTGGTTTCCGCATTTGCATGTATCTACACTCCTGATGGACGCGTCTAGTTCCTTGACACGTTCAAGCTGCCATCCAAATTGGATAGGCCAACTCTGATCAACGTCGCACACACTTCGCTTGCCACTAAGCTGCATGCCTCGTTAGCGAAGCAACTCGCTGCAGATGTGGTGGATGCTGTGCTCACCATCAGGCCACCAGCACCCCCCAAAGGCACGCCTTTCATGTAAACAAAAGGGTCCTCTTGCTAATTTCTCATACAGAAGCAAAAGATCAATATCGCGACCCAATAGATCTGCACATGGTGGAAATTATGAAGATGCAACACCGCACAGCGTCAGAAACTCAGCTTGTGCGTGGTTTGGTCATGGATCACGGTGCCAGGCATCCGGACATGCCCAAACGCGTCGAGAATGCATTCATTCTAACATTGAACGTCAGCTTAGAGTACGAAAAGACGTACGTTCTTCAGCACTGCATTTCAACTCTAAACTCACAAAAGCTTAGAGAGGTTAATTCTGGCTTCTTCTATTCGTCTGCCGAGCAACGTGAAAAGCTCATTGAATCTGAGCGGCGTTTCGTAGACGCCAAAGTGAAGAAGATCGTAGAACTTAAGAATCTCGTGTGCGATCAAGCTGTTGGCGGCAGCGAAAAGCCCAAAAACTTTGTCGTTATCAATCAAAAAGGCATTGATCCACTTAGTCTCGATATTCTTGCAAAGAATGGCATTTTCGCTTTACGTCGTGCTAAGCGACGTAATATGGAACGGTAATGTCTTCAGCGCTGCGTAAAGATATTACTCTGATTGCGGTCGTATCTTAGCCTGCAGCTCATTTGCGGAGGTGTTGCGCAAAATTCCGTAGACGATCTAACCCCAGATATTCTCGGCTGGGCGGGTCTAGTTTATGAGCACACTCTAGGCGAAGAGAAGTACACTTTCGTGGAAGAGGTTAAGGAACCCAAGAGCGTCACGCTCCTTGTCAAGGGTCCAAATGCGCACACGATCCAACAAATTCAGGATGCTTTACGGGACGGTCTTCGCGCCGTCAAAAATGCACTCGAGGACGAGGTTCTCATTCCCGGTGCGGGAGCCTTCGAGGTTGCATGCGCAGGTCATTTGAGTGGTCCTGTAAAGAAAGCTGCCAAAGGCCGCGTTAAAATGGGCGTGCAAGCGTATGCAGATGCATTATTGATCATTCCAAAGACTCTTGCGCAAAACGGAGGCTTTGACGTCCAGGATGTGGTGGTGGCACTGCAGGTTCGCGATATCATTCCGTTTGTATTTGATTTGCTTACATTAATCAAAATAGGACGAACAAGCGGAGGGAAATACGGTTGGTATCGATTTACAATCAGGGGAGCCGTTTGATCCGACTGTGGAAGGCATCTGGGATAACTACAGGGTAAAGAGGCAGATGTTACATTCATGGTAAGTGGATATACTTTTCCATCAGAAGAATGGCTGCTGAGACCGAAATCTTAGTTCTGTGATCGCAGTGAACCTCCTTTCTACAGACGAAATCTTGCGGGCGGGCCGGAGTTCATTGAAGCCAGATGGGCAGTCGTGAAGAAGTGCTGTGAATTGTGGGTACAACGTGCCTTACTGTACCGTTAGAGTATGCACTCGATACGTGGTGGCAGAGAATGGCGTTTGTATGAGGCATATGGACGAGAATTACAAAATGCTACTGTAGTTGATACAAGTAACGAGCTAACCAATTTCGGGGGTGGACGGGACCACATAATTTAGTTTAATATTAAGTTTAACAGTGTCCGCACAACCCAGACTCCGCCCTAGCAATTAGTGAAGCTGTTGTTGAGTGAGAGCAATCAGACTCCCAACCTGCATCAATGAAACGAGTGGGAGAGGATGGTTCGTCGTCTGCGTGAAATGAAGCGGATTTGCGTAAATAATGAGACATGGGTGTTCCACGAGAGTTCTTCCAGGGTACTGGGGCAGGAAGTTTAGCCGTATACGTGACACGGAGATGAGAGAATTGCTCCTCATTTACAACGCCGGTATGAGCCTCCTTGCTTTCAGAAAGAAGCCCTTCGACAACTCGATCGTCGTCAGAATTGGCCGAGTCAACTGTACCATCATCCGGAAAAGAAGTGCGGCGGTGCACATCTAAGATCGGAAACTGCTCGCCCAGCTGTAAATTGTTCATGTGCAATTCTAAGTATAAGAAGTAGATGTACGTACGTCGTCAAATGATGGTGTGTAGGACCCGGCACGAGGAATTGCACCACCTTCTATATACATATTCTCCGACATGGACGAAACGCGAGCGCTTGATCGTGAACCAACAGTGGGAATCGCATGTAGTCCATCTACGCTAGAAACTTTCGTGGAACTGTCTTCTCCACAGAAGGAAGCCTTTGGGTTCAGCCGCTCGCTGCGGCGAGTCCCTGGACCAGAGTCAAGGGGCAACTTGGATATTGAGGACCAACGACGTCTGGCAAAATTGACTGGAGATGGCCGGAAGGTTAGAACGCTATTGTGTACAGGCCCTCGCCAACTAGCTCGCTGGGCTAATTTTTCCGCGACTGTATGCTCAAGCTGCGACGGACCAGCTATAGGTAACGGCGTCTGATCATCAGGCGTGACAGGACCAACACTGTCACTTTCCAGCGTTGGAAGAGAGGGACCACTGTCCTCTTCATCCTGGGACATATCATCAGGGCATGGTGCCCACTTCCGGCGAGCGTAATTTGTCGGGTTGGGATGATATAGAAGACTACTACCCACCCCTTTGAACTTATAAGCCGACGGCCCGGAGGGTACAGAAGGGCTGTAATCCAATACTTCATCATTTCCACCGAATGGACTGGGGAGCTGTCGGGGCTTCTTCGTTAGCGGTGCCGAACCTTCAGGTGGGAATGATGCCGCTCGTTTGCCAGTACGAAGGGTCTCTGGATCATTCGCTTGATCCCAGTCTTGTGAGTCTGCTTCTTCGTCGTCTGTCTCATCTTCTTCATGCCTGCCAGCGAGCCACTGCGTGACCTTAATATTTCTGCGGAAAAGCCTTTCTGTGCGTGTCAGGTTCTGAAAATGACCAAACTTCTTTCGGACAAATCTTCCGTTTGTCGTAGATTTCTTCCCAAAACGGCCGTTCGAGTCTCGAGGTTGTGATTGCACCGCCAGAGCCTTTGGCCTGGTATGACTGCGTGACGAAGAAGGGGAATGATCGCTATTTTTGACACTTGATGGAGGAGCAGAAAGCTTGATCACGGGTGCAGACGGAGTCAACGGAGGCTTAGGAGGTGAGGAAGGCTGAGATCGGAGTGGCACCTCAGGAACAGGATATTTACGGGGTCGACCTCTTTTCCGTTTCGGTAGCTCTTCTTCAGGAAGAGGGTACTTGCGTGGCCGCCCCCTTTTTCTCTTCGGTAGCCCGAAAAGCTCCTTTGCCTTGGCTAACATCTCTCCGCGAGGTCCGTCATCAACTTTGCGCTTCTTCAGAGGCCGCTCGACGACGGGAGGCACATGTTTGCGTTCCACAGCAGGGATAGTCTTCTGAGGAGGGCGCCGCGAGGAGCTGGCTTCAACGTCATCGCGAGATGGAGCAACAACAGCTTGACTTGAAAGGCGAGCTGGCCATGGCTGACCATATATGGCGGCGTGACGCATACATCTGGTGCAAAAGAACCCCATCAGCACAAATAAACCATAGGATATCAGCAGAATCACCTTGGACACTCTTGTTTTTGTTTGGACTTCTTGCCTTTCCGCGGGGAGTCTAAATTCAGGCCCCAAACCACTTTGGAATCCACGGAAATCACAGGCAAGACATTCAAGCACGTCACGCACGTTGGCAGCGGACGTCCATCTGAACCACGAGGAATCTCGCGCTTCGGGGGCCCAATCAGATCTAATTTTTCCCCGACTGCGGAAGGGCGCGCTCGGAGAACTCTTGCTTCAGACTCTTCCTTGACTTGAGTCTTGTCCGCCTCCTTTCCTTTACTCCTACTAGGCGTGATAGACACGCTATCCCGAAGATTTTGACTCCTGAGGCGAGACGAGAGATTGTGCAAAGTATCATGGGGGGCGGGAGTAGAATATTTGCTGGACGATTCCCGTGTCTGTCGTCGAGTGGAAATGACGGGCTTTTCCTGCGCTCTCCCTTTATTGGAAGATGCTGATCCTTCGGCGCTCAACGATGTCATGCGTGATGGCTGAACGTCCGGATCAGGCGTGGCAACTATTGCATCATTGGCCGGCAAGACAGAAGCTTCCCCACCTAGCTCCATATCCACTTCATCTTCCCCAGAAGCATCAGGGGCGTTCGCAAGTGGTTTTTCGCCCTCCTTATCGTCGTCGTCACTCTCCTCAGAGTCAGAATCTTCCTCTTGAATGATGGCGTAAACGCCACGTCGCGTCCTACGCTCGTTGACATCAGCAACTGTCACGGCATCCACCTCAGCGTCGTCTTCCGATGCTTCGGCATCTTGTTCACCGCCCGAATCAACATCGCCATCGAAATGATCCGGGGCGTAGCCTCCCCTGCCGTTCTTCTCGCAAGTTTCACAGAGGCAGTGTCGATTCCTGCCTCCAACTGTGGCGTATGTGAGCCATGGAGACTGACCGAATAACGGATACGCACAATAACCATCGCCGTAATGCGCAGTAATCTCTTCACCCACGGAGATAGCCCGAAGAGTGCGAAATGTGATATACTTGCCTTCGCGAAAAAGCTCGCAATTGTTATCACAATCATGCTGCATAAGTCAATATCAATGTGAATGACCAAACAGAAGTAAAAAGGCATAGACCGTCACAACTTACGTTCACGAATCGGGCGGGCCCCAAAAATAGATGGTTCTTCTTCATTTGACGTGAATGGATGACACTAAAGTCCCTCCTGATATCAATATTTCTCAGGTCGGTGCGCTTGAGTTCTTTGTCTTCCTCCTTCGAAAGATGTGCCATTGATCCCTTCAGCTCAATAATTACCACTCCAGGGGCTAAGGAGCGCGTAGCGAGAATGCATAACTCTGACTTTCCTGTCCTGTGAGAGTATCTAGACGTGTGAGCAATTTCTATGCACCCTGCAGGGTTGTAGAGCTCAAAGTATCGCGAGGCGTGTCTGTGGTAAAATGGAGTTTCAGGAGCAAGACATTGATACGAAACCTGATTGCACACACGTGGCGAAAGCATTAATCTGCTTCTGCGTGTAGGGCTTGAGGTAGTAACGAACAGAAGGCAGACTAAAGAATGATCGTCCCTGAATGTCTGGTAAACATATACAACACAGAGAAATTAGACGAACGCGAGGAGGTCGTCTACGGCTTGTCGGACAGCATTCTGAGCACCAAGCTTACTTGCAACCAACTACGACACGATGATGTATGACACCATACGCGCGTCCAGGGAATAATTAGTTGCGTGCATACGAAGCGAGCTAAGGGTATACTCACGCGTCTAACGATTTGCATGAGATCCTCGGCATTGGTCTTTGGGAGTCTTCGAGATGGATCCATCTTATGAACGAGCAATGGGACTGTGCCTGTTCCAAGTTTCTCGACTAGCAGATGGCTAAGGAAGTCATCATCCTTGGAAAGGTCACCCATGTTCATGATTTTGGTAGGACGCCATATGAGAACTGTCCCTCTGGCTCGTGTGGAAGAGCCATTGGCGGTCGCAGTCGCGGACGCTGGCGCCATTGAACGGTAACCGAAAATTTACGCGTTCGGGACACAAAAAGAAAAAAAGCACAGACTGGACGAGGACAGCAATGACGCGAACGGAAGGGAAAAGGAACAAGGCGAAAGCACTGCAATTGCTGGCGCGATAATTACGGCACTAACCTCACTCTGATTATGTCAGCTTAAACCCACTTCTCGGGAACAATTTAATATGCTTTAGGTCAGAAGTTAGAACGTGGTTATCTTTCGAGAAGCATGTAGTGAGGACATGGATTGCGTCGATTGGACAGAGCATATGATAAGATGGCATGGTCGTCATACACTATAATACTAAGGATTTCCCATATTTTCGCCATGTCCTCGTGATCTTATGTATGCTCAGAGACAAATCAAGGGGTAAATCCCTAGGGAAATGAAGGAGATAGCATTTATGCGTTGTGTGCGTGCTTCTGTTTGCCTGACCGGAGCTTCCTGACGTAGAACTATTTATGAAGGTGAGTAAGCGATACATAATTCCTTCGAGTAGCAAGACAAACCTCTAGCTCCTTGCCCTCCAGAATGTAGCCGTCACTACGACCGGACTGTCCAGGTCTGCTCGAAATGCAAGCATAGAGACGGCCAGCAGCAAACTGAGACTCGAGAAGGGGGTCAATTTTAGCATCTGAGATGGGCAATGAATTATACAATGCGAAAGATAAAACGGTATTCTTACTCTGCTTTCTCTCCGCAATGATACGTTGAAGATGGTTAGATTTTTTTTCCTCCTCCGCGGTGGCGGTCTTTGCGGCGGCACCCTTCTTGCTGATGGGCTGGGCGTACTGTTATTTACATAAATTAGTAGGGTACAAGGGATCGACTTCTGGTAGGTACGTACGTGGGACTCATACCACTGCCTGAAAGGGGTAGCGTCGATCTGAATGATAGCGCCCTTCACCAAGGTATTGGTGCGGACGAGCTCATTGTTGGATGCGTTGTAAACCTAAATTGGGTATCAGTCATGCATGCAATTTGTATTATATTAAAATGTATGCGGTATCAAGGGTACTTACAACACTGATAAGCCTAGTCTTTCTTGTGACATGCTCAGATGCCCATGCGAAGTTACCTGTGTCAAGACGGAGGGCACGGTACTTGGTGTTACCACCACGGACGCGCACAGTGTGAACACGCTTGGCACCAAGCTTGGTGCTAGCAGGCTGACGACCGAGCTCGAATTTTCTCTTCTTGCGATAGTAGGCGCGCTGGGCACCGGTTGCCGAACGTTTGTGCCGGGACGAACGAGAAATACCTGTATAAATAGTAGTTTGATATCATTAGCATAGGACAAAAACATTTGTGTGTTAGTATATCGGAAGACCAGCACTAACCCATGTCGGATAGCCTTGAGGATGGGAGTCGTGTAGTCGAGTCGATGTTTTGATGATAGTACTGGAAATTAAGGTTCGATTATTCGTACTCAGATCGGCAAAGACCGAACTTGAATTTGGCTTTGCTTACATCAAGTTTGTACACTTCTGCTACCAGCTACTAACACACCAGCAGTAGGTTGCTAGCCCACCATGCATTTGCGATTATGATACAGCATGTCTGGACATGAACTTCCCATGGCGTTGATTCACCCCTCCAGCGCGAACGTGATGTGATCTCTGCCACCTTTTCTGCAGGTCTGAATGACACTATCAAATTGGAGGGCGTACTCCTAGATATTCCATCAGCAGGCCCGGTTGGCAGCCAGTCGCATAATCAGCTAGGTGCGTGCCATAATATATTAGACTGATCCGTGCATTTTAATAGGCGTCGCTTATTTCACTCGGTGGGTCCTAGTAAATTCTTGTTCATCTATATTGTTTGTCGTGAAACCGATTTGCTTATGACGTGTAAATATAATTGAGATGCTAGACATACGCTGCCCTTACTACTAGGATGGCATGCTTCGCTCGCACGCCCCGTGCCCATGTCCAACTCGTTCTCAGGGTAAGTATTTTGTGGATCCCCGATATGAAATAACGTTCATCAACGGGCATATGCAACGAGCCCCTTTTTTGCCCGTCGCCCAATCCGTCATTTTTGTGCAAACCCGAGCAATCATAGGCTCGTAGGACGGCTGAATGACGCATACCATGCGCTTATCTCGAGGCCTCATTGAACAGGCGTGTCCATCTTGGCGTGTATATCTATGTGCTCCTACTCCATGTTTATGGCCCCCGTTTCCCCTCTCGTTGTTCTGTGTCCGTTTTTATATGACTTTATTCAAGACAGCCAGCTTCCGACGATTTCGTCACCGCAAGGCTGTTCGACCGAATGAACGATCTGCGTTGGCCAAAAGCACTCAAAATGACCTTAGCCGACTAGTCCGCACTGCGGATCCTGCAGTTAGGAAGGTGAAACCTGTTCTATTTTTCTGATCCCGCCTGTATTCTGACGTATGATCATAGGCATTTGATGTAGAAATGCAGTCATTTTCGAAGCTGCATGCCCGTTATCTCGCAGAAAAGGAAAACCGAGAGCAACTGTAAGCCCTGCAGCATTATTTTCTTTTCCCTTTTTCGTGTAATTAATGCAGTGACATTAAGTGACTGGGATCGCATTAAATCGCCCAATGACAAGCAGGTCATTCCTTACAGTCACCTTCCACAGATTACTGGTCCAGAAGGCCTGTCCAAGTTGGCCGTTCTAAAAGTCAATGGGGGTCTTGGGACCTCTATGGGTATGATCCTTGAATTCCCCCCACATTTATGCTTACGTATTCTAAAGGCATCAGTGGTGCGAAAAGTGCTCTCGAAGTCAAGGACGGGCTGACTTTCTTGGACCTCATCGTGCAGCAGGTCGAGCACTTGAATACAACACACAAGGTCGACGTGCCGCTCATCCTCATGACATCCTTCAATACACATGATGATACATTACGTATCATTAAAAAATACGTGTCCCAACGCATCAGCATAACTACGTTCAATCAGTCGCGGTATCCCAGGATATGGAAGGAGACGTTGCAGCCTTGTCCCAAGTATGCATCGGACGACAAGAAACACTGGTATCCTCCAGGCCATGGTGATTTGTACGAGTCGCTGGTGCATACTGGCGTGCTCGATCGTCTTCTTGCTGAAGGCAAAGAGTATTTGTTCGTCTCAAACTCCGACAATCTTGGGGCTGTGTAAGTCTTCACATCGCTGATGAGTCAAATGAGTAGCTCAATATTTTTACAGGGTCGACCAACGTATCCTCCAGCATATGATCGATAGCGATGCCGAATTCTTAATGGAGGTCACTGATAAGACCAAGGCAGACGTTAAGGTTCGGTCGATATCTAAAGCTCCTTGAACTGGTTGTTGATGTGTTGATGTTTCATTTATAGGGCGGTACTCTCATTGAGTACGATTCTTCCATAAGACTTCTGGAAATTGCCCAGGTACCTGCAGATCATGTTGACGACTTCAAATCAGGTAGTATACATCTTCCTTGACTTATCATTCAGCTCATCATGCGCAAGTCCGCAAATTCAAAATATTCAACACGAATAACCTATGGATCAATCTTAGAGGTATTTATTAGAGATTTATTCATTCAAGTGGAACGATCGTATTGATGGCTTACTTTCCAGCATTGAAGCGGATCATGGATGGAGGTGGCATAGACCTGGACATCATCATCAATCCGAAGATGACTGACAACGGACAAGCAGTGATCCAGGTTTGTTGCCCGTTTGGAATGCGATACGCGATCTCTGACTACTAGCAGCTGGAGACCGCTGCAGGTGCAGCTATCAAACATTTCAATAACGCCCATGGCATCAACGTTCCCCGTTCACGCTTCCTACCCGTGAAATCCTGCTCTGATCTGTTGCTCATCAAGAGCGATATATACTCATTGCAAAATGGCCGCCTGCATATGAGCGAGAGTAGGATGTTCGGCAGCGTCCCGGTCATCAAGCTGGGTGACCACTTCAAAAAGGTCGGAGCATCCTTGGAGCTGGAATCGTTGCTTTGCTAATGGGCGCGATGCATGGTCAGATAACTGATTTCCAGCCACGATTTAAGAAGATCCCCAATATCATCGACTTGGATCATCTTACGGTAACGGGCGACGTTCATTTTGGCCGAGGGGTTACGCTCCGTGGTACTGTGATAGGTAGGCACCCGTATTTTCTCTGCATTTGTTGAATGTGACTAGAAATTTTGTCATAGTGGTGGCGAACGAGGGTCAGAGGATTGATATTCCGGATGGTTGCGTGCTAGAGAATCGTAAGTACAGTCAGATTACTTAGTGATGTCATAGAGGCTGATGACACTTGACAGGTCTAGTTTCTGGGAATCTCAATATGACGGTGAGGCCATTTAAGTCTTCGCACTTCAACTTTACTCACTGTTAATTTTGTGTAGGAACTTTGATTCATTATTCAAGTTACATTGTATGTTACATTGACAAGGTTTCTGGGAGGAACTCTTGATTCGATGACGTACGGACTCGTAGAATGATGTATTCGCGTATCTCGGATGCGAAGACTAAAGCTCTTCGCATCGATAAAACACGAGGACAACTTGCGCCTTGTGGGGAAGTCGTCGGCGCGCAGAGGATATCAGACTTTTCCCCTCATATTCCCACATCTAGTTCGCCATCATCTGCCAGTAGCTACAGAGAAGAAGCCAAGTCCTCAGTGTAGTCACGAATTCAAACTCCATTTTGTTCTCTCCCATGACGAATCAAGCTAGTCAAGGTTAACGTTTATGCCGATTGGCAGGCGGGTTGTAAACTCGCTCGAATGTTATTCATAACCTTTGTGACGTCAGATAGCGTAACGGTGCCAAGTTGCGCCCCGACACCACATTGCATTGTGCCTCGTGTGATTTACTCCAGGAGGTCCAATCATGCACCGCTAGACCACGTTCCAATCTGCATAACCCAACTTTAAACATATCGGCCTGGCCCCGTTCCTCCGCCAGTCGATGTGCTCGCCACAATACAGTTCAGTGCTAGTACTGAACGTTGTCTTCAAATCTTCAATTAGCGCACCCCACATCAGCTCGGCCCCGACGTGCTCCCCTACTAGTGCTTTTTTATCGGCATGCCCCAACATCGAGCATATCAACTCGGGCCCGTTCTTCAGTTAGCCGACGTGCTCACCGAAGAGTCTACATAAGTAATACTTCTAGTCTT